CATGTGCATGGCTTCATGAGCCTCACGATGAATTGCAAGTATACCCAAGAAAACTTCCAAGGACTGCTGCAGTGCCTCAGAAAGGCATTGTCTGAAAGCTGGTGGGCTGTGATAATAATTGGCAAAGCCCCCCTCCCAACAATGAGCTGTGTGTTTTTTTAAAAAAAGATATTCATTTAGGTTTCAGTATTCCAAACCGTCTTGGGTAAATTGTGGGTTGTGAACGATGGACAGGGCAAGAATGGAAGTTAAGCAGAGCTGACTCAGTGACAACTGTGATCATATGCTTTCCCTGCAAAGCAATTATAAATTCAGCCAAGCAGACATCTGATGCTGCAATATTAATTTCAGCTCACATTCACCGGTGACTCCTGTCACAGTATTTTTCCTTTATGCAGGTAAATCACCTGTCAAGAACCACAGTGATGCCATCTTTCTCAGGATGAACTCATTAGTGGTACTGAAGAAAGGGAACAACAGACTGTGGCTTTGTGTGTATCTCGACTCGAACACACTTCAGAAACAAAAGTGAAGAATGAACATGCTCAGCCAGGAGTCAGGGTCATGCTCACCAGCACCTTAGTGCATCCATCAGAATTTCTGTGTGGCTTCTATGTGCCTAAACCCCATACACACCTAGTCTCTTGTGATTTGTACTTCTGTTTCCGTAGTTCTGATGAACATGCAGGGATTGGAGTCAGAGTCAGAAGGCAAGATCCTGACCCTCCACCAATATAAGCTGCTTTGCCATCTGAATAGGGTAGGCCTGCCATGTTGTTGTTTAGTCATTTAGTAATGTCTGACTCTTCGTGACCCCATGGACCAGAGCACACCAGGCACTCCTGTCTTCCACTGCCTCCCGCAGTTTGGTCAAACTCATCCTGGTAGCTTCGAGAACACTATCCAACCATCTCGTCCTCGTCCCCTTCTCCTTGTGCCCTCCATCTTTCCCAACATCAGGGTCTTTTCCAAGTCATACATTATACCACAGTCTAGCATGGCCTGTGTTTTCTGAATTTATCCCTTGAATGTATTACCTTCCCGCCGGAGCGGTACCTATTTATCTACTTGCACTTTGGCGTGCTTTCGAACTGCTAGGTTGGCAGGAGCAGGGACTGAGCAACGGGAGCTCACCCTGTCGCGGGGATTCGAACCGCCGACCTTCTGATCAGCAAGTCCTAGGCTCTGTGGTTTAGACCACAGTGCCACCTGCGTGTCATGGACATTAGAAGGCGGCTAAAACAAAAATCTGTAAAAATGCAATAGGGCAATCCAAATTCCTCATTAAATTTAACCGAAAAACAATAATCCCAGTCAAAAATAACAACAATAGCAGGGGAGAGCAGCAAGCCACAGCTTGTCAGCTATGAGGCGAGATCTTTTTAAAGGCTGTTGATGAAAACCTGGGCTTGTTGCTGAATCTCTCCCAGGAAGAAGGTTTCTCCTGATGCTTCTCTGGCTGGAACGGCTTCCATGAGGCTGCAAAAGGGGAAGCAAAGACCACAGAGGAAGAGGCAATGGAAGAGGCCATGGACAAAGGTACGAGGGGGCAGGGCGAGTGGGGGCAGGGTGAGGAAGGGGTTGGTGGCAGGGAGGGGGAAAGCAGGCGGGCGACAGGATCGGTGGGATGGTGGTGGGGTGCCCCAATTTGCCCTCCTTAAATGTTGGGGGGTGGGTATGGCCGCTGCTTCCATTGCCAGGAGTTTCCTCCTTCCCTCCATGTCCTACCATGCATCTTTTGTGTATTCTTCTCTGATGCTACATTTCTTATGCACATATACCAGGGGTAGGTAACCAAAGGCCCGGGGGCTGGATGCGGCCCAATCGCGACCCATTTTGGGTGCCTGGTGGGGGCGGAGGCAGAAACCTAGTGGTGACAGTAGGAGGGAGAAAGTGACAAGAGCAGCCAGCGGCAAAGTGGAGGAAAGGAAATGTGATAGAAACGTGTGTAAGTATAACCATGGTGATTGGGGCTGAGGCTGGAGAGTACCTTGTCCAAGTCCCTGTCAAAAATGGTAGCACATCAGATCTTAAAGAGGTCTCTTCCAGACCAGGGTTTACTGTGGCTGTATTCCAAGGACGCAATAAAAGTGCATTAAAGGTAAAGGTAAAGGTACCCCTGACTGTTAGGTCCAGTCGCGGACGACTCTGGGGTTGCGGCGCTCATCTCGCTCTATAGGCCGAGGGAGCCGGCGTTTGTCTGCAGACAGCTTCCGGGTCATGTGGCCAGCATGACTAAGCCGCTTCTGGCAAACCAGAGCAGCGCACAGAAACACCGTTTACCTTGCCGCCGGAGTGGTACCTATTTATCTACTTGCACTTTGATGTGCTTTCAAACTGCTAGGTTGGCAGGAGCAGGGACTGAGCAATAGGAGCTCACCCCATCGCAGGGATTCGAACCGCCAACCTTCTGATTGGCAAGTCCTAGGCTCTGTGGTTTAGACCACAGCGCCACCCGCGTCCCAAAAAGTGCATTAATGGCGGGTTTATTCTGCTTTATTCGTTGTTCTGCAATCTTTCCCCAAAGCTACCAGATTATAGCTGTCTGGAGGGGTTCTAGTTTAGGGAAGTTTTTAATGTTTGATGTTTTATCACTTTTTTATTATTACTAATAATATTCTGTTGGGAGGTGTCCAGAGTGGGGGTATAAATTATTATTATTATTATTATTATTATTATTATTATTATTATTATTTTATTTTAGGTCAATGAAAGTAGGACAACCTGAACCCTAGATATTTGTGATGAGACAAGTTACAGGATTTCAGCAGGAAGCTATAGGATAGGCACTGACTGGAAATGAAGTGATACAGCCAGCCTCAAACCTTTGCAGGTAAAGGAACATCTGTACACACCTGCATCGCTCAGCAAACCTACTTTTCATCTCCAACAGTCTGGCCAGTGAATGCAAAGGCACCAGGATAATTGACAAAAACCAGACACTATTTTTAAAAATGTTAATATAATTAATAATACAAATAAATATGCAAAATGAATGCATTTGCTTTTGGTTCCAACAAACACACAGAAGGCACCTTTAGGCTCTCTCGCTACAGAATTTCTCTGGCTATGGATCTTGGAAATCTACGTTAATGTAGCAATAGAGCCTTGTGGCCTGTAATGGATTTCTCATAAATCTGGACTGACCATGAATGTCAACGCCCGTAGGCATGGCATTATGTCCACTATCTACAGTATATCAAGGAAAGATATCACCCCATTTGGGATAATCACGGCAATCATCATCTCCAGTGTGTTAACCGCTCCCGTAATGAATAGCGCTGTTTTAAAAGCTTTGGAAATAAATGGAAGTCTTTTGTTTCCGAGTCCAGGTAAGTGGTGGTTAGCCAACGGTATGTGATACTTCATCACAAAGACATGTGGGAACAGAATGCATGCCAACACGTCTGTCGTGCATTATGAAGCCTGGCCTCCTGCCAGCCTGAAGCCATTTACTTTGTAGTCCTCGAGTCATTTGAATGGGAATACTCGAGAGTAACTCACTCAAGGGCTGAAGCTATGGATCGAACCATTCACGAAAACAACTGCATAGTTAAATATTTATCTTTAACAGCAACTAAATGATCATGAAGGCAAAACAGTTTTGACTTGCAAAAATTGCTTTCCCTCCACCTCTCTAACCCAACAGACTTTCTTGTAGTGTATCCTTCTTGTAGTGTATACCTGAAGGAGCATCTCCACCCCCATCGCTCTGCTTGGACACTAAGGACCAGCTCTGAGGGCCTTCTGGCGGTTCCCTCACTGTGAGAAGCCAAGTTACAGGGAACCAGGCAGACGGCCTTCTCTGTAGTGGCACCCGCCCTATAGAACACCCTTCCATCAGATGTCAAAGAGATAAACAACTATCTGATGTTTAGAAGACATCTGAAGGCAGCCCTGTTTAGTTTTTAATGACTGATGTTTTATTGTATTTTAATCTTTGTTGGAAGCCGCCCAGAGTGGTTGGGGAAACCCAGCCAGACGGGTGGGGTATAAATAAATTATTATTATTATTATTATTATTAGTAGTAGTAGTAGTAGTAGTACAGTGGTACCTCGGGTTACATACGCTTCAGGTTACAGACTCCGCTAACCCAGAAATAGTACCTCGGGTTAAGAACTTTGCTTCAGGATGAGAACAGAAATCGTGCTCTGGCGGCACGGTGGCAGCAGGAGACCCCATTAGCTAAAGTGGTGCTTCAGGTTAAGAACAGTTTCAGGTTGGGGGGCCACCAGGGGCGCATTGGAAGATGGCCGACAATACCATCTCTCCGGCTCACACGGGGTAATTAAGAGGCTGATATGGGAGTATGCAGCCTCCCTTGTTACCCCAGGGAATGGGGAAACACTGCCTCGCCTGCTGTTGCCATAAATCACCCCTGAGTTCGAAGGAAGGGGGTGAAGGCACTAGGTGCTTAGCCCCCGTGGGGGCCGGCTCTCCCGGACGCTGTCTCTGATCGCGCGAACTGGCTGCAAGAGCTCGAAATAAGCAATTAGAGAGAAGCAAATGCACATATTTCAAGTGAAGAACGGGAGTGAAAACTGCTAATTGACGTGACCTCTGTGAAGTAGAGCGACGGGTTGGATTTAACAGGAATATATCATGAAGAAGATACATCAAAGGGTCGGTATGTCGGAACAGGACTGGGTGGGAGGGGGGAAAACATTTTTTCTTTTCTTCTATGTGATTACCCAATAACCCCTCCCCAAGAAAGAACTGTCGCATAACTGACCTAAGCGGGATGATTAAAAACTGTGTGGAAATGAATTATTAACCAAAAGATTGGCTTATGGAGATCTGGAAAAGAACAAGGGCTCTTGGAATGACGCAGCAATAAAAAGAGAATTGCCATGTTGGCAGGTTTTGTCAAAAGATTGATGATTGAGGAGGAGGAAGGTATGGATTTGTTTTCATATTGGATTCCTGGCAGAACCTCCTCAGAACACTGAGAAAGGGAGTGACAGACCTGTGAAGATTAAGGATCAGACAGTAAGGACTTCCGGTCGGCGCCAGCGTTTAATGGCGGTCCTCGCTTCGAGCTCCGGAGGAGGACTGCTCCGCGAGTTTGGGTCTGACCCGCTACGGCGAGCGGGGGACCCCTAAAATCACAGGCGCTGAAGCCTGTGAACAAGGAGACTCGGTGGGCACCTTTTGCGCCCCCCGGTACTGTGAAAGAGCCTTTTTAAAGGCTACGGAGCGGCATCGGGGGTGAGCGCGGTGCTGAGAGTCGCAACCCAGCCCGTGGAGTGAAGCCGCGTCGCCATGAACGGAGAGCGCCGATTTCTTCCTGAACCAGAAATTCGACTGTAAACCCCGTGAGTAAGACGGAGGGACTGAACGGGACATTTAAATTTAAATCCTGAAATTTGGCTGAAAACGGGAAAGGCATAAATTAAGGAAGTCTGCCTCCCCGATCTGCATGGCAATTAAAGCAACGAAAGAGTAAAGCTGCATTTGAAAGAAAATTATCTTTGAGCTGTCAAACCTGACATTTGACTTAAACTTCCCCCCAGTAAGCAGGAGAAGGGGGGAAGAAAACTGGACACTGTTAATCTGCCTGAAATTAACTGAGGAAAACCAACATCTTCCACTGCCAAATCCCCAGGACGGACTGCCTGAGTAAGGCACCGGGAAAGTGAACTGTCAGTTTAGACTGGATACAAAGTTGGGGTTTTGTCTGAGACAAAGTTACGGGACTTTAATGGAATTACTTTGTTGAACTTGTGACTATACTGAAAAAGTGCGACAGAAACTTTTACTGTGGACTCTTGGATTTTTTGTTGATTGCTCTATGTTTCCTTGTTCTTTCTCTTTTCACTTGGATACAATTAAATGCTCCCTCTAGAGGGTATAAAGAGAAACTGTTACAGTGAAAAAGAAACAGTGGGATTTTCCACTTGCAAGTCTTTCCTGTGAGAACGACCTTGAGGATATGAGTGGTCCAGCAGAAGAGATAACAACTAGATCCAAAGCAAAACAGACACAAAAGAAAAGGGGCTCAATACCTGGCATACCACCAGCTGCACAGGAAAAAGTGGCAACAGCATCTATGGATTCAATGACACAGGCACTGCTCAAAATAAACCAATCTTTAGAAGCACTGACAAAGCTATCTACGGAAAATTCCAAAAAATTGACAGAACTGACAGCAAGATTGGACTTGAATACTGCAAGTGTAACATCAAATACAGAATCTATTAATAAATTAATTCAAGAAAGTTCTGAAACACGAAAGATTGCAGAAACTGCAAAAACAACCGCAGAGGAGACAAGGGAGGAGCTTGTGCCGATTACAAAAAAAGTGAATGAACATGATGCAGCCCTATCTTTGCTGGAATTACAGAGAAAAGAGAGAAATTTGAAATTGAGATTGGTTCCCGAGAGTGAGGGAGACAGCCTTGTGGACTTCCTTACACAGAACTTTACGGAATTTTGGCAAGAGGAGCTGCAGGAAGAAGAATTTGAAATAACAACAGCTTTCCGGCTGGGCAGGAGGCAAGGTAAGAAGCCAAGGGATTGTTTGATCACATTGAGATCCAAAGGAGAAAGAGATAAAATATTGAACTTGCATTACCAAAAGGCATTGGAGATTGAAAATAGTCAAGTACAAATTTTTAAAGATATCCCTAAATATATTTTGGAGGTGAGAGCCTTCTATAAAGATTTGGTCTACCTGCTGAAGAAAAATATCATACCCTTCAGGTGGGAGTTTCCACAAGGATTGTCTTTTAACTTCAAAGGAAGGAAGGTCAAAATAAGAACAGTTCAAGATAAAGAACAGTTTTTGGAGAGATATCAGGAGGACTTGCAGAAAGGAACAGTAGAAACAACAATACAAGAAAAAGGAGTGACAGACATTGCAAACTTGTCATTTGGACTCATACCACCATCTGAAGATGAACAAAAGCTAGGAGCAGTCGGAGGAACAGGTACTTAATAACAAAATGTCTCTGCAACTTCTTAGCTGGAATTGTAATGGTTTGAACCTTCCCGAAAAAGACGCCAAGTTTTTCATATTTTGAAAAGAGAACAATTAGACCTAATATGTCTACAAGAGACCCATGTGACCAGGACACATAGGAAATTATTGGTAAACAAGAGACTTGGACAGGAATTTATTTCATCAGACAAAGTTAAGAAAAGAGGCGTGGTGATTTATGCAAAAGAAAAATTGGCTCCAAAGATGATATTTAAAGATGAACAAGGAAGATACCTGGCAATTGAAATACAAGTTCAAGGAGAAAAAATCTTGATAGTCGGAATTTATGCACCAAATGACGGGAAGGCGGAATTCTTTAAGAAGTTGCATGAGACTTTAATGGACTATCTAGACTATAGAGTAGTAATGATGGGAGACATGAATGGTGTAGTTTCCACAAATATGGACAAAGCACAGAGACAAGTAATTTCCAAGGAAGGGAGACTACCAAAGACTTTTTTGAAATGACTGAAACTATGGACTTGATTGACATTTGGAGAACAAGGAACCCTCTTGAGAGAGAGGGAACTTTTTCTCTGAAGCAAAAATGACATGGACAAGAATTGACCAAATTTGGGTAACTAGCAGTATGGCGCCAAGGATCAAAAAGGTAGAAATCTGCTCAAAGACTTGCTCCGACCATAATGCTGTAAAGATGGAGATGAAACTAACATCAACTGGATCCTTTAGATGGAGAATGAATGACACCCTATTTAGAGATGAAGAGATTTATAAGAAGGCCCAAAAAACACTGAAAGATTACTTTGAGATAAATTTGAGAACAGAAGTGGAAAAAGAATAATCTGGGACGCAAGTAAGGCCGTGATGCGAGGTTTCCTAATACAACAGAACTCCATAAAGAGGAAAAATCAAAATGAAAGGAAAGAAAAATTCTGGAAAAAATAAAAGAAGGTGAAAAGAAATTGAGGTCTAAACCAAAGTCCCATGAGATTCTGAGAGAAATAAAGCACTATCAGGTGCAATATATGGAATTGATGAATCAAGAGATAGAATGGAAAATAAAGCAAATGAGACAAAAGACATTTGAATCAGCAGATAAATGTGGGAAATTTCTGTCATGGCAATTGAAAAAGAGGCAAAAACTGAACACTGTGACAAGTTTAGAAGTGGATGGAAAGATTATCCACAAACCAAACGAGATAAGTAATTGTTTTCAAAGTTACTTCAGGAAATTATATGCACAAGGGCCAGTCAACGAACAGGAAATAGAAGAATTTGTTAAGAAACATGGATTACCAAAAATTTCAGAGCAAAGCAGAAGGATTTTGAATGAGAAAATAACAGGACAAGAAATAGAGGGTGCCATTCAGAAGATGCAATTGGGAAAATCTCCAGGACCAGATGGTTTGACCGCCAGATATTATAAAGCGTTGAAGGAATGGTTAGTACAACCACTGAAGGAAGTATGTAATGAAATTTTGGAGGGGAAAAAGGCACCAGAGTCGTGGAAAGAAGCCTTTATTTCACTTATACCGAAAACTGAGACTGAAAAGAACCAGGTTAAAAACTACCGCCCTATATCATTACTCAATGTGGATTACAAAATTTTTGCAGACATTATGGCAAAAAGACTGAAGAGAGTGTTGGTAGGGGAGATTCATAAGGACCAAACTGGCTTTCTTCCAGGGAGACATATGTCGGACAATGTGAGGAACATTATAGACATTTTGGAACTGTTAGAAGTGGACATCAATAGGAAGGCTGTTTTAATTTTTGTGGACGCGGAGAAAGCCTTTGATAATATTGGTTGGAGCTTTATGAAGAAGAATCTCCAAGGGATGGGGGTAGGTCAAGGGTTTGAAAACGGTATAGGTGCAATATATTCTAAACAAAAAGCAAAGTTAATTGTAAACAATGTGGTTACGGAAGAAATATCTATAGAAAAAGGTACACGACAGGGGTGCCCAATATCCCCTTTACTTTTTATATTAGTCCTGGAGGTTTTGTTAAACATGATTAGAGGAGACCAGTTGGTTAAAGGAGTACAAGTCGGAGCTAGACATTACAAGCTAAGGGCATTTGCAGATGACCTAGTACTGACCTTGCAACAGCCAGATACTAGTACTAAAAGAGTATTAGAACTAATTGAGATATTTGGTCAAGTAGCAGGATTTAAACTGAACAAACAGAAAACGAAAGTGTTGGACAAAAATTTAACATTGGCTGAAAAAGAGAAGTTTCAGAATGAAACAGGTTTAGTGATAACGAAAAAGTAAAGTATCTGGGGGTAAACTTAACATCTAAGAATGTGAATTTATTTAAGGACAATTATGACAAATGTTGGACAGAGGTAAAGAAAGATCTAGAAATATGGTCAAGGTTGAAACTCTCTTTGTTAGGTCGAATTGCTGTTATCAAGATGAATGTATTGCCTAGAATGTTGTTTTTATTCCAGACATTGCAGATTTTGGACAAGATGGACTGTTTCAAGAAGTGGCAGAAAGATATATCTAAATTTGTCTGGCAGGGCAAAAAGCCCAGAATAAAATTTAAGATTCTAACTGATGCAAAAGATAGAGGGGGTTTGCCCTGCCGGACTTAAGACTCTACTATGAATCGGCGGCTTTCTGCTGGTTGAAACATTGGCTACTTCTTGAGAATACAGACATTTTGGATCTAGAAGGGTTTGACAATAGATTTGGCTGGCATGCATATATATGGTATGATAAGGTAAAACTGCATAAAGGTTTCAAAAACCATATTGTTAGGAAAGCATTATATAATGTTTGGATGCGGTATAAAGATTTATTGGAAAGTAAAACTCCCAGGTGGTTGTCACCAATGGAAGCTAAAGAGGTGAAAAACTTAATATGGAGTCTAAATGGCCAAAATATTGTGAAATTTTAGAACAAGATGGGGAAAAAGTTAAATTACAGAGTTATGAGAAATTAAAGTCCAAAGTGCGAGATTGGTTGCACTACCTTCAGATAAACGAGACATTTAAACAGGACAGGAAAATAGGTTTCCAGATGGAGAGGTCAAAATTAGAAACAGAACTGTTAGAACCCAATACTAAGAATCTGTCGAGAATGTATAATCTGCTGTTGAAATGGAACACACAGGATGAAACGGTGAAATCAGCTATGATAAAATGGGCACAAGATATTGGTCATAACATTATGTTTGCTGACTGGGAACAGCTGTGGACCACCGGTACTAAATTTACGGCATGTAATGCCTTAAGAGAAAACATTATGAAAATGATGTATAGGTGGTACATGACCCCAGTCAAGCTTGCAAAAATTTATCATCTGCCCAATAACAAATGTTGGAAATGTAATGAGACTGAAGGTACTTTTTATCACCTTTGGTGGACCTGCCCGAGGATAAAAGCTTTTTGGGAAATGATCTATAATGAAATTAAGAAGGTTCTTAAATGGACCTTCCCTAAATAACGTGAGGCTTTTCTCCTGGGCATTGTCGGCCAATTGGTGAGA